AAGGAAGACGCTTGTTGGAAGTGAATGGTCTTTCTTCTTCTTCTTCCTTTATAACAGTCATAGGACCATCCTTTTCAGTATGTTTAGTAATTTCTGTTGAATTCTCGTTGTGGGCCCCATTTGTGTCAGCATCCGTGTTTTCCTATATGAAATGAGAATAAACTCCAATATTATTTAAAGATTGATTAAAAAAGTAATTTTGTGAATAAAATTTCACAAAAAATGTGTACTCAGGTAGTTCTGTCGTTTATGTTTTAAACTCCGAACACTATTTTTAAAAACTGAACCTTTTCGTATGTTACACGCATTTATTTCTTCTAAAATTGGCAATTTTCGTCTGAACTGATGGCAACTTTTCCATCACCATTTCTTTTATTCAGGAAGACTTCTTGGGAAGCGTGAACGCGTGAATTACAAATACCAGTTTCAACAACAAGTTATGCAAGTGACCTCCCTCTTATAATCAAAATTACATAATCGTGGATTAATTAAGAACAATCCAATGTTATTTTAACTTGTTTGTGACGCCGGTTTTCAAGTTCGTTATATTTCTACACTATCGACCCAATACAATGCCTCTGTACAAACAGCTGATATTTTGTAACCTTATGCAGTGTAACACAGTGGTTATAGACGTCTGAAAATTTTCTTGGTCACACAGGTCCTGTATGGTTATAGACGTCTGAAAATTTTCTTGGCATTATCGTCACCGAGAATTGGCAAATAATTAGCCAGTTGTGAGAGAAAGGCAATCAAACTAATAGTCCCTATTTGATTCAGGTATAGAGACGAGCACCTGTAAACTGAGCTAGTTGCTTGACCTCGTTGAAAAGGCACTTACCAAATCAGATCCAAAATATTTTCATATATTACAGAAAAGCTATTGAATAATTTAACTGTGCACGTGTGTATAAATACCGTTTCCTATTAAACGTGTAATATTTACTTGGCAAATACCAAAACTACGCTGCCATTTTGTAGCGCAGAATTGGTAAATATCAGCATAATAGCACTTAGCATATACAATAGCACGTTAAAACAACTTTACGGAACAGACTCCTGGCCACTTGAAAACATTCAACAACGTAGCCAAGAAAACAATGTCCCAACGTTACGTACCTGCGGGTATTGCTTTCACCTTTTGTAAATATCAGTGTAATTCTGTTATCGTAAGCATGATAGTCTTTCTAATAATACAGAAGTAAGGAAATTAGACTAATTGACTAATCCTTGAACTCTTTTGAATGCTACCCTGCAAAAATATTACTAGAATCAAGTTATATATTTTATTTTAATTTTATATTTTAAACTGTAAAAGTCATGTGTGATATTCTAATGTCTTTTAAACTGCAGTCACAATTTTCTTATATTATACCGCACTCCACATTAACAATCTACTTTTATTCTTGAATATTTTTGTCCTTTTTAAATCAAATTGTAAATAGTGTGGCTACACATATAGAAAAGAATTAATGGGAGTACATCAACCTGTAGCATTAAAATCACTGCTGGTGGGGGTATAAGATATCTTGTTATATAAAAACAGAATGTCTCCCCTTCATCAATCACACAGCAGAAGATCGATCTGAACGTCAGAGTTATCAAACTCAGTTAAATTGGGGTCACGTAACTCTTCAACAGATTGGGTTACACGTTGCCTCAGCGATGTTGATCCCTTAGCGGTACAAAGCAGATATATAATATATAAGTCATACTGTATATAGGCCGTATAGCCTCCTGCGATCAACACATTATTATAGTGGTGTTCAGTATACGATATGCTTTTTGAATTAAAAGAACCACTCCCTACCACCCAACCCCCGAAAAAGGATCATAGAGATAAAGAGAAGGAAATTAAACAAATGAAAACAGAATAGCATGTAGTCAGTGCTACGTCCCGTTGGCCTACTGAAGTTATTCTTCAGAAGTAAAGTAATAACTATAAAACAATGTCGCTAAAGCTGGTCCTTGGACCTCCGCCTTTTTGGAATTAAGTCATTTGGTTTCTACCATTCTTATTAACCAGAGTAACTCATATCATGACTTGCAGAAGTTGCTCAAATCTTTCATGATCTTAGTGTAACTACTGACCCGGAGAACAGAGCAAAGTCTGCTCTGTAGGTTGGGGCAATCGTCTCGGCTGTCGTGTAACTATACCAACTATACAGGGTAAGTATAGATGTACGAGGTTTTCTTAAGAATTTATTGATCACCTAACAACATTCTTTCAGTACACTTGGTTGAGAAGAGATGTTAACCTTTTGCCGCTCACCGGGAGAATTCTACAATTAATTAACCTGGATTAATGAAACGTTCAGCTTTTGTGTGCGAACTGTCGGGGTTGGCAATATAACCCCCAAGTATAAGTGTTGGTTCAATTTATTCATACGTAATTTCACAATAACATTTTTGCTATCCATTCATTCATTCATTCCACGTGTTCGTATTTTAACTGCTTCCACCAAGATTATCATTTCACCTGGACCCAATTTCCTTATAGTTTCCGCTAGTAAGTCACTAAGCAAACATGATATCTTTTTTTATTAAATTTTATCAGCTAACACCAAGACATGACACAGGCTTGTTGTCCAATGTCTTAGTTGGTATTCATTTTGAATTGTTTTCATAGAGACAATCAAACCAGAACGTTAACTTACCCCATTGCCTATGTCGTCTCTCTCCGTGTCCTCCATATTGTTAGTGAAATTACCATAGCAACTGCAATATGTGGAGTTCTGGTAAAAGGTGCCTTATTAGAGGTTGATCCGGAGAAGCATTCACCTCCTATGAGTTACGCTCGATTGAATTACAATACTAACCATGCAGTGTCAAGTCTCAGTCTTCGATTAAAACTAAACGCGAGTGTTGTTTGGAAACACAGGCGGTGGATTAGGAGCGTCACCTGGCGTATTGGAAAAATCGGCTATCGGTGAACTTCTACTATAATCACTGCTGCGATAAGGGTTTCTTAAGCAGCGTTCGGTTGAGGTCGCGTGGTGACGAATTATTCCAGGGGGCGAAGTTGTATTTCTCTTCACTTTAGGGTCTGTCAGATGCCTTAATTAGCGCAAAGGATTTCACTTGATTGCAGTTTCATTACGTAAACCATTACGTGAAAACACAGCATGTGGTAGCTGGCCATTTAATTGACCCATAGGCTTTTCTCGTTGAACAAAAGCCCCACGAGAATCGAGTTTAATGACGTCACTGTAGTCTACCACGCGCTCCATGTGTGTTATTTTAAAAATCTTAAGTACCTCATTTTGATACGTTATATTATAGACGCTTAGTTCTATTAGCTAAAGGACTTTTTTTATTAACATTGTGCAGTAAACATTTGCACCGGTATTAGCATGAGCTATCTTAAAAATCAAATACAAACAAAAGATGGTATGTCAACATGACATGTCGGCTCCTTGAGGGGTTTTGTCACCAAGGTCCTGGCCATGCAGAAAACGTCGTTTGCTTGAGAATTCAATCGATGCCTTTTCAATGCAGCTTTTTCGCTCCCTTTAACGTACGTTTTCAAAGCCGGTTATTAGTTCAAGTGTTTCTCTACCCTCTCAAAACATTCGTCAATATTGGTAAACAGCATTGTGTTTTAACACAGCATATCCAGGAAGCTAAACTCGAAACGGACTGGACCTGCTGGGCTGGTTAATTATTTTGAATCCTTGTTACACGGTATTTCTTGAATTACCAAATGACGTTCCATATTCATTCCATATATTCATTTGCTGACTTAAAATTACTTGACAAATGGTTGTATTTTTTATAACAGAGGCCTCGAAACCACGCTTAAAGTTTTAAAGTTTTAAACATATAGCCTATTTTTCTTTCTCGTGTCAACTACTTCAACAACGCCCAACCACTTTTTGTTTGGAGACCATGGTCACTTAGGCCACACTTTTTTATTTTTCTGGATGACATCCTGCGCGCGCACCGATTTTCGTCCGTTCTCCCAAAAAAAAAAAAGTTTGATACGTGTTTCTGTGGTAAATTAGTGTTTCCAGCTGTGTACTGAAAACATACCTTTTCTTAAGCAGTTTTTTTTTTTTGGACTGTTTTTTTTTTTTTTTCGCCCGCTCGCACCGATTTTGGGGTCACCAGAGGATGTCATCCATAAAAATAAAAAAGTGTGGCCTTACCTCAATTAAAATTATAGTATAGGTATTGTGCGGGATGGCAGTTTCACGTCTGTTTTTGAGAAAAGTTTATTGAATTATATTGATATCTGAAAAAGGGTTGCTGTTAAACTCAGAAATACATGTATGTTCTTTTAAAATAATTTTTATTTATAAAATTGATTGAAGACTCTTATTTAGAATGCGTTAATAAGCCCATGGCGAAATTTATGAACAAGATGCTTCATCGATCTTTTTTCTAATGTATTATGGATGAAAAGTTAATGAAGATCAGTGAAAACACTTTTCGTCGTCACCTAAATATATATTTACCCAAAGGATAAGAAAATGGCAAATAAAGAGAACGTGAAATTCAAAAGAATTCTACCTGAGTTAATACATAAGAAGGCTCTCCTACTAATATACGATTACAGTGCTAAATAAGCAATGAGTATAAAAATAATTTCTTGAACATTTTGTTCGCGTTTTAAGTGTTGATCAAATGGTACTTCAAGGACAATTCTACCGGAACAAAATAGGGTTACCCACAACAGAGGTAATGCAGGATGATCAAAACAAAAACGCATCGGATTTCTTTTTCTTAAACTGCTGCCAACCCAGTGGAAAGGATGGAGACACTTGTAGTCATAAATTTTCGGTTGTAAACAGGAAAAAATATACCCGTATGTACTGCTAGCCAATATAGGTTTACAGTAACTTGCAGAAGCATTTTGATATCATTGCCCAGAATGTTTCAATGCGTAGAGTTGATGCCCCGAGCACTAACGGTGGCTTTCTTTAACCTGCATGCAACGCAGCTTCACTTGATCTCACTGTTCACCGTGTAACACTGTTAGGTACGGATATGGGTGGCTATCACGGTGAGTTTCCAGTTGCCTCAGAAATTAAGGGTAAGATATGGCAACTGGCGCACAAAGCGCAATCTCATGGTTAGGCAAGACGGGAAAGCAGAAGTACACAATTGATTGAGGATCTTAATAAATCATATACAAAAGCATTATATAGTAATACTCAGGGTATCTAGATTTTATAAAGAAACAAGGGATTCGATGTAGTTATTTTCGTTTCTTGGATGATTTTTTCGACTTCTTGGTCTTTTCTTTTCGTGCGTTCTGAATCTTTCTCTTCTCTTCAATGTGATCCCTCTCTGACGCACATATTTCCCTGGATAATAGAGAGCTTTAAGTCACTAAAATTGTAAGAACCCTTATACATTTAGATTTTCTAACTTTTAGAGTTTCGTTACTGCTGTTAGGTCATTGCTGACCAAATATGTAATGGTAATCACAAATCGATATACGGCAATATCAATAGCAACATCAGACAAAAGAAATATTATGATTTATTGATCAAAATGGCATCTTTTTTCTAAATGTTATTTTTCAGATACATCTATGTTTTACATGAAAAGTTAAGCGAAAGAAACAGATTATCAGTTCAAGACTTGGAGAGACTATGCAAATTTTAAGAGAAATGTGTAGCACCATATAGCGACCAGATTGAAAACATCATAACTCGCCAGTCAAGCGTAGAAGAGCTCTGAAAAGACGTAACGAAACGAAACGTGACATATTATAACCAGCAAAGAAAAAAAGTTGAATAAAATTAAAAACTAAAGCTTGATTCAGAGGTGTAATAATTACAATAAAGCAACAAAGGTAATTGCAAAGTTGCAATTAATATTGATAGAGTTTACTGCAAGATCGAAACTACAGCTTCTTTTAGTCTACGAAAGTCTAGGAGTGAATATGTTAGTCTTACATATTTTTACAAAGAATAAGCAAAGAAATAGGCGTCTTAAATTAAAAAGAAAAAGGACAGAAAATATATAAATTCAACAGCAACTTACGAATAGTCGATTCTGCCGTCTGGGCATTTGTCTAATCTTTCCACTAGATCAAGTATTTGTTGGTCGTCTAAATTGATCCCAGCAACCTGAAATGAAGAGGAAAGCATTGTGGTAGAGAGGCATAGCCCAATCCGAAAATCGATGTGAAGATAAGTAATCAATATTACATATAATTTAAAACTAATATCTGATAAGATTTATCAGAAAAAAATATTGAAGTATTTAACCATACCTTTATTCCTTTCTTGAATTCCTCTTTCGTAACTGATAAGATTTATCAGAAAAAAATATTGAAGTATTTAACCATACCTTTATTCCTTTCTTGAATTCCTCTTTCGTAACTTTATAGTCTCCGTTCTTATCAAAGTTTCTGAATAAGTCAACCATGCGGATGTCTTTTTTCTCGCAGTGTTGTCGTAACAAAAAGACGGGATCCTTGGTCAAGTCATCGGCACCTAAAATATAGAAAGTGGCTCTAAGACCCCATTCCCAAAGACACCACCGGCCTACATAGATCGATCCAACTCTGTGGGGACTCTCGCTGAGTTTAATCAGTTTTTCTGTATTGTATTTAACGCCAGGCGGAGGTGTGTCATTCAGGTAAGCTGACTGCACTCAGCGAGAGTCCTGTAGAATGGGAATGAGGTCTAAGACGTACCAGAGAGTCTAAACTTACCGTGACAACGGGACTCAAGTAAAGGTTTGCTCCATTTACTCTGTATAGAAAGTAAAACTTAAGTGAAACCCAAAATATGCCGAATATGTACCGCTGTGCAATAGGCTTTAATTCGAAAGAACTTAAGAGATAGCAACCACAAAAATATCTGTGGATTAATTCCGCCAGGTTTATATGTTGTTGCACATCATTCGTTAGTCTGCTATCATTCCCAACCACACTCTCCTTTATATTTTGCGAAATGTCACTTGATTTTACGCTAAGTAATGAGAATTTGGGTTATCTTGGATGATTTCCATTAACGTATTGTCTTAGTTGCACTGCGGGACTGTTTTCGATAAAAGTAAAAAAAATCCAATCATTCAAATACCTGCTTTTTTGGCATATTTTCCTGTGATGACATAATTCCCAATTACCCCTGCATGGATGACGGTCAAGCCTCGGTTTTCAATCATTTCTTTCTCCAAAGCGTCGAATTCTTTATCGACAAAAACTCCCTAAATCATAACATGAAAACTATAACGTCAATGGGGGAAATTTGTCGCTTTTACACGGATTAAATATATTCTTAAATGGCATTTCTTGAGAATTAATTAATCAAATTTTCGCCTAAGAATAAAATCGACCAACAATAACACACTTGCACATATATAGAAAATACAGCAACGTGAAACAATTTTTCAGAAAAAAGTATTTACCGATAAATCCAGCAGTGTCAGGACACTCCTTTCGTTGTTGATGGCCTTGAGTAGAGCAAAAGCACCAGCTGTTCCAATAGGATTGTTACCAACCTTAAATATAAAAAGAAAATATAACAGAACAGTACAGTATAAATGCACGGCGCATATAACACCAATACATGCATCTCGCCCAACAGGAGACTATATTTTCTTCTACAGTATTAATGCACGGCGCAAAACACCAATACATCCATCTCGCCCAACAGGAGACTACGTGTACTTTCTTCGCCGCATATATATTCCGTTGGACGAAGAAAAAGTATCAACCCAGTAAACTGACTTTATATATAACAGTCCATTTATAACTTATTCCAGCAAGTCTAAAGCGCTACTAAAAAGATCATACCCTGAGGATTTTTAAAGATTCATTGGCGTCCAGTCCTTTCCCAAGCATAAACGCGCCTTCCGCTGTGATACGGTTGTCACTGAGGTTTAGCTCAGTTAGCGTGCTGTTGAATTTGAGAGCTGACGCCATGGCAACGGCGCCTTCATTACCAAAGCCATTCCAGGACAGATCCAGGGTTTTTAGTCGCATATTGTTCTGGAAAAGATAGTGAAAATACATTGCGAGTACTAACAGTCTTTGGGTTTGGGCGTGCGTTTTCGAGCGAGAGTCAGTGACTGGATCCTTGTGCGTCAATTGTGTGTGTGTGAGAGAGAGAGAGAGAGAGAGAGATTCTACTCTTTCAAATCAGTATAAAGCTAAAAAAAACATGGGTCAATGCTAATTGATAATTATTCACAACATCTCGTTGATAGATCAACAACGCTTATTTCCTCCTATTCATGATGTGCGTGTGCATGCACGCGCGTTTGGCGTTTATGGTATGACATATGTGTGCGTGAAGCTCCCGTGCCGCCTTACCTGTACACCTTCACATATGCTCTCTGCTCCTCGGCGCCGTAAATGGTTCCAGCTGAGGTCTAAGCTTTCCAACGCTTCATTTTCACTTATGACAGGGCCTATCAATTCTCCCGCTTCTTCGCACAGTTCATTGTGACTGAGGTCTAAATATCGTATTAGATCGTTTTCCTGTGGAACGAATATAAAAGAAGAAAATTTAACTTTTGTAGATACAATGCAGAAGGGTAATACCTGTGCAAAATGTTTGTTTTTTTTTTTTTTCTCGCTGGACAACACAGATATGTGCACATACTTAGCCAGAGAAACATTTGTGAATACCTAGTGAAAAAATCACTTTGAAGCCGGGGTAAAGGGTAGCCAGACCCCATGGCATCAATGACAGAAAACATTCATACAGTATTTACAAATCTAGTTTGCGTATGGTGCGAATATTCCCATATCTAGATATGCACACGTTACTTATAATTACGCCATTAATAATGCGACTCTTCTTACCATCAAAATATTCGCTAAAACATCTGCGTCTTTGTCTTTTAGATCATTTCCTGGAAAATTAAAAACGCTATTCAGAGACGTTTTAGGCACATCAATATAAACGCGACCAGGCTTTTGAGTCCAGCTGTTAAAAGTTGGACCAAATGCTTACCATCGATCTTATACATTATCCATACCACTTTATTAGAATGCAAATGCTGAAAATAGTTTTATGTCGACTTTTCATCAGAATAGCCGGCTGACATGAAAAGAAATGCTTTATACATGTACCTGTGGTGTCTGTCTGCGTGCGTGTTTGTTCATTTCTTTTCTTGCTACATCTAGGGTATCTACTTCAGTGTTATTCCTCAGAGTTTATTGATTCTTCCTCTTCAAAGAATCTAGACGTTAACAATAATAAATCTAATGGAAAATATAACTCTTACCGGCAAGGTTCAGCTTTCTGATATTGACGTTCGTTTTGAGCATACTAGCTATTGCACCGAGACCTTCACTGCCTATGTGGTTGAACCCAAGTCCCTGAAAATAAATCATCAAAATGATACAATTTGGTTATCAATTATGTAAAATTTCAAAAAACTGATTATTAAAACATATTTCGCATTGTGAAATTTGTTTCAGTATTTTAAAGATTCGTTTCATACACCAGATGTGAATATTCCACACAACAAAAGGAGTTTACTGCTGCCTTTCTTTCTTAAAGATAAAATTTAATGAATTTTACCATTAAGGGAAATATTACAAATAAGAATCTGAAAATAACGTTTAACGAGAGAAGAGACATCAAACGAAAAGAAAAAGTTTATTGTCAGGAGTGGGATTCGAACCCACGCCCACATTCGTGGACCAGAACACTCACACCTGCGCGGCAACAGGTAAGGAACACCTTGAGTCTGGCGCCTTAGACCGCTCGGCCATCCTGACATCTGCTTGCGTATACGTGATTTATTTTTTACCAAATTAACCCAATAAAGTGACATTTTTTGCCAATCACTTGTGATAAATGAATATATTAAAAGAAGTGTTCTGCGCAAGAAAAAATAAGCTTATTTGTTCCCATATATCACACACTTATCATAACGTAACAGCTTATCTTTACAATTAAGGTACACTACGCACTATCATTGTTAGCAGGAATTTGCACTGAATGCACTTACCAATTCGCTGATGTAACAATTTTCTTTCAGCATGTCTGCCAAACATTTAGCACCGGGCGGACCAAGAGAATTATCCTCCAGATCCAAAACAACGATGGAAGTATTAGTCTAAAAAAATTGATAAAGTGATTAGTGTAGATACATGCATATACGCCTCTTATATCATATGGGCCTTTTAAAGAGTACATAGAATACAAACAATAATTTTGTTACCGACAACAAGTGAACACTGTTTTCAGAGAGTAACATGCATACAAATTGTTGGCAGTTGAAGTACATTCGCCCGAGTTGAAAATAGTGTTCAGTTTAACAGGCCCGTANACAACGATGTCATGAGAATTTGGTTGGCTATCTAAATTTAAATAACATTCTTGTTATGGCCCCCCTGCAGTGCACCACTAGCAAAGAATGACTGATAAACACCTGCTTTTCTGCATTCTACTTGAAGTCGGGAGAAGGCGTGTTAATCTGTTAAACTAATTGCATTCAGCGAGAGTCCCCGAGGAGTTGGATAGATCCACGTAAACCGACGGCGCTTATGGGAATGGGGCCTCAGATAAGTTATAAATTTAATCAGAAAAGTTCCACTAGTATATAACCTACCACTAGAGGCACTGCCATCGCCTTGGCCCCTGCCTCCCCGAGACCGTGGTGCTTCATAACCATGTCCGGCTCGTGCATGTGCCTCATGAAGTATGACACTGGAACCACGCCCAGCTCCTTACACGTTTCTAGGTAGACATACCGGCCGGATACATCATACATGCTCTTTTCATCTGAAAAAAGGGAACAAGGGTACGGGCACCTTTTATGGTAAGTTATCTAATCGGATCAGTAAATCATACTTTATTACTTGGCTTTATAAAAGGGTAAGTTACGAGTGGCAAATTTGAACGAGTGTAACAAAGAAAATGTAGTACAAGACAGTATAATTATTTTACAGAGAGAAGTAAAACATTTAGTGGAACAGCAGACTGAAAACTACTAAGCAGTGCGTCTACAAGGCAATGTAAAGCTCATTTATCCGATTTATCAAGAATATTTAGAAAACATTTCAATGTCCAGGGTAATAGCAAACAAATGAATGGCCGATTCTCGCAAAAATCTTCAGTTTTTTTAATTCCACTGAAACTTACTTATGCGCTCTATTACAGTTTTTTTTAATGTTACAAAATTTGAAATTCTTTTGACACATTATTATAGTAAAAACTGCACTTTACCTTCCATCTCCAGATCAGTGTCCCATCCGCTGTCATCGTCCTGGGCGCCGTCTGTGCTAGGGTCCTTGCTCAACTCCTCTTCTTCTACATGTATTTCAATATGCTCACCGTCTTCCCTAGAACAGCAATTCATGGCTTAAACATGTATTCGCAACGTAGTCTTCAGAATAGCAACTATTTTGAAACACTGCTCAGCATAAAGGACTTGTATTGCCTTTTTATTAGGTGAACTACGGGACACATTGTGCATAAGTTGATTTTGACACAATGTTTTCATAGCTTTAGGTGACTTACTCGTAAATGTGGCAAATTTTTTTGTTTTTTAAATTCGCCCAGCTGCACGTTTAATTTCCGAGAAATGACGACGAATCTCCTTCTACGCACTCCGTCACCGCCAATAAGGAAACATGCGTGCAGGTTTGAAAGGAGAATTTCTATTAAACTGAAACTCAGGGTGCCCATCATAATGCTTTACCAAGGGCTCATTCCCAATGAAACTATCGGCCTACGTAGATCGATCCAACTCCGCGGGACTCTCGCTGGATGCAATCAGATTAGCAGATTAACACGCCTCTTCCTGGTGTTGAGTAGAATACAGAAAACTGGTGATTATACGAATACGTTGGAAACAAGAGGAGGTGCTGTAATCTGTTGAACTGATTGCATTCAATGAGAGTTCCCGCGGAATTGGATCGATTTATGGAGACCGATTGTTTCATTTGGACCCAAGAACCTAAGACCCAAGAACAACTAGATCATCTGAATTAAATTCAGGCCCTTCTGTAGAAACAGGAAACGAGGGTCCATTTCTCACACTGACTTTCACTGTTCTTAATCATTTTTACAGAAACGAAAATGACGATCATATTATTTTTACCATTCAGTTTATAAATTGAAATATTTCTAGAATTATTTTTTTTACCCTTGAGTAAGAGTGAGAAAAAAACAGATCATTGGACCTATTACACTGTTATTTGTACATTTTTCTGATCCATTTTCAAATTCGAATTCTAAACAAGACAAAATGATCTGAAAAAATTAGATGGGTTTATGTGACATAAATAAACATCGATGTTTGCTTGCAGCCATATCCCGTGATCTATTAGTCAATTATGTTTTGTTTTATATTTGCTTACAAGAGGGGAGTGGTGCCGAACTGAATATATCAGTGGGTTATACAAATAATGACTTCAATGAGACATTTGATTAAATGCGTTTAAAATAATATATTCCTACTCAGTTTTCGTACTCGGGCACAGCATACAACAGCGCATGAAAATTTAACATTTTGCAACAACAATTTGCAATGAATGTGAAAAATTAAAGATATTTGACATTCACAAATGAACGAAAAATAACCTAAATGCTTTGACTCAGATATTTCTTACGTTAGTTGCTCTTTGAAAGACTCAGAGCTTTGTGTCAGTTCTTCCTTTGCTTGGCCATCATCAAATTCTTCTATCTTCACTGATTCTCTGCTAATAGGCATCAGTGCAGGCTTGGAGGTAGTCATATTAGCAGCATTCACGGTAGAAATCACAGAAGATGGGCGAGAAACGTCATTTGGAATTTCTGTCTGAAACTGAAAGGAACGATCGAACCTCCTAAATGTCAGAGATTGCTGTTGACATTAAAAACGTTACCATGGTGATGTGGCGTAACAATTGATATTTGATTGTGGCGTTACATTGTAAAACCTTGAGTATTGTGACGTTGCAAGTAACCTTGAACTTTGTGGAGTAAGTATGATTATATTTGTATGTTGTGGCGTCATAAAAAACATTGACTTACAAATATTGACAACATTGACTTAACATCACAAAAATATTTCAGACCTACGGTTTAACTAATATAGTAAAAAATACTGTTGAGGCGAGCGTAAGCTGGCGTAAATCTGGTGGGGTCGATCAATCTTTACATTGGTTTCTTTTTTTTTCTTCTTTTTTACTGTAGCACGGACCTGATAATTCAACTTGCAAATTGACTGGCGTCATTGACCATTTAAATCATGGCTGGGTTTGGATATAATATTATGACGACCACGTTAATGTCTATTTCACAACGTAAACATCCTCTAATTTCATGAACAAAAACTTAACTATAAATTGACGAAAGCGCTTTCAACTTATACAAAAAAACTTATAAATTATTCACATTCAGACATTTACTTTACAGTAGGTCTTAACAGATAACTGTGTCTGCACCAGGTCTGCTAAGATTGACTGGCGCTTGCTTTGAATTATAATCTGAATTATTAATATGGCACCCAGGAGCTTTGGATGACCCAAAATAATTGTAAGTGGTCGTATCTAATTAATAGTGTATTTCAAGTTTCTAAACAGGGGTCATTTTTACAATGTGTAAGCGCCCCTATTCTACGTCATAGGAAGGAAGCAAACAAGAAAGCCACTGGATGCTTATTATTCTATTTAGTCTACGAAACAAAGAACACTCGTTCTGTATCGTATTAAAAGAACCGAATATACTCCAATCTGTCGTGTCCACTATACACACCTTCTTGCTAATGGCCATTTCTACTGAATAGAGGTTAAGTATGCGCCAAACTAATGTGTTTACTCTAACACAATGCACTTCAGGCTGTGCAATGAGGTTGCTATTGTAAAAGCGTCAAAATGTTTTTACAAGAATTCAGACCATACTGGCTGCTGCAGTGGAAATTTCTTCATGTTCGTTTTGCTGATATATTTTACCAAATGCTTCGTGCGTGTCTCTCGTGTCAAAGATTTTGTTGTTACTAATCAGTTATTTGAAAAAGAATAAATCCTTCGAAATCTTGATACTTTAGATGTTTAAATGTTTTTTTTTTACATCATAAAAAACATCAAACGTCGTACTATAGTCTTGGTATTTAGCTTACATTATTATAGTGCAGTATTTCTTTTCAAATATGTCTATTTACAAAAAAATTCATCTGTCAATCCTGTCCACCTACGACACAGGATATATATCAAATGACACCTATGTCTAAATATGTTACTTAACGTTATTTGAGACATTGTATCGAATCATCAGAGCTACATCTAATGGCTATGACGAAAATTAATACATGTACCTATACTAATCTTACCACATTGCGATTTGTTTCTCCATGGTCGTCTGGCGATTTGGTGTCATCAGACGGCTGATCAGAATAGGAAGAAACCATAATATTATCATTTCCGTCACTCAATGGGTATTTTTGCTCGTGGTTGTCTTGATGCTTCTGGCCATCCTGCTCTCCCTGGTGGGATTCAAAATTATTTTTCGTACAGAATCTGGAAGCACTTCCCTCCGGATCCCATCTGTCATTAAGTAAGTCCACTTCTTCCGACATTTTTACGATCCCAGTCAGACTTAAAACGGAAGACTTAAAAGAATTCACCTTATCGGCCGGATAGCATACTCAGTTCACCATTAAACCTATAAGTTCGATTGATTGGTAGCAGGTTCTATTCAAATGATGGCACCGCAACTTCGCGTTTGTTTAAAATGAAAGGCATTAGACTTTTCACTCGCCTCCCGTTCTCTTCATCTGACATAACGAGACAGCATTAATCAGTGTTACGTAGGTTGAGCATATACTTCAGCAAACACTGATGACAATATTCCTCATTAACAACATGCGGACCTGTTCTCGTTTATTTTGATAAGAGCAATTAATGTAAACAGAATCGCACGCATGAATTGATACAAATGGTGAATTCCGCCTTACCACCTTAGCTACCACAAATACTGACATAAGGGACCAAAACAGTCTTTAGTCAATAATACTGTATCACTGCCTCCGATGAAAAACTATAAATGTTCTTCATAAAAAGAATACAGACAGAATAATATTCCTAAATTAAGCAAAATTGGTTTCAATTAACTTTGATTACTTACTTTACATTATAGTCGTTTAAGCGCTACAAGGTCACAAAGCAAAAAAGCTCGAAACCTAGTTTTTATCGATTTTTGCTAATTGCTATCACGAAACCTGTCCAAAATCCAGGTAGATTTTTTCATTTAGAGAGACCTTCAACCCCTATCTATAGCTCTCCAGAAAATGAACAGTGCATACCCTTTTCAAGTCGTTTTGCAGCTAGCCTGAACAAATATCATGTTTCCACGATATTTACAGGTAATGAACTCATTTATATTGACTTGTGGGTAAATAAAATATAAAAAAGGAATAAGGCTTAAATTGATTTAATACAGTGGTTTATAGCCGAGCATTTGTTACATTATTTTCCGGATTGCCATAAAGTCAAAGGCATTTCTAAAATAGTGCATTGATTATTCTTCAGTATGAACTAATGCTTTACACTTCAGATGTTGATGAAAAATGGACGCAGTCGTATGCCCTTTACACACACATCTAGCGAATAAGAAAAATATCAATTGTCAAAGCGACTCGCCTGCTTTTAAGTAATTAGTACAGTTCGCAACAGTCTGTGACCATTGTTTCAAAATAATATTACAGCATAATTCATGTTCATGTTCGAATAATAAAACTGTTCAATTTAAATAGTTGCGCAATTATTGTGCGAATATACCTGATATATACACTGTGCAAACATTCTTTTATCTTGAACACTTATTATTTCAAAACTTAAATATGTGCAGTCATTTTCCCGTCGATTGTCTCCCTTTTTGCAGCAACCAAAAACGGTGTCTCTTTTGGTTTCCATTTGGTGATTCATCAGTTAGTGCACTATTAAGTTGAACTATTTCAATAACAACTCTGCTTTTACAGGAAGATGATCTGACGGGAACAGCGGGCTAGGCAGTGAGTAGTGTCTTGACAGGGCGTCCTCTGGTGGCATGTCCAGGACTGCAGTGACGTCAATGCGATCACTGTGAAACCAGATGTAGTCGAAGCAAACTTTCAGAACCTCGTCAAAGTATGCGCCGTCATGATTGGTGATTGGGGGCTCCTTACCCTGAATTGTGAACATTATATGAGAACAACTTTAAAATAAAAACAATAAATAATAATAATAATTGCAATGGTTCACGTTTTCATATCATACACATTGTTTTTAAGATACGCAAAATGTTGCGTGTAGTCACACTTTAGAAAAGCTCAATTTTTAAAGAAATTTCTAGACAAATTACTTGCACATGATGCCTCGCAATTTTGAAAGAAAAAAGAATTGGAATATATATCCCCTTGATTTATTCTCTGAATAATTTTAGCGTCTGTCGTAACGCACCAGAACAAATGCATAAGCACTCTTTAGGGGAACTTCATGGCCCAGGGCATTTTCTATTAGGTCCATTAAATACATATCTTGAACCTGAATTACAGAGAAAATCATTATCATTAGCATAGATTTTACTTCTGTCTTATCATTTGTCTCTAGGCTTCTAGTACAACATAGCAAAAGGTCTATTACATGTAGACATACATTATCTCCAAAGTTATTATACTTGATATTGAGCTATATATAGGCCCCTATTATAGACGATAGACGCTTAAGGAAAAGAAATGAAAACAAAGAGAAAAAGGTTTTTCTCTGCATTTCGCTCCGAAATTACGTCTTCTATTCCCTTCTTCATTGTGGAACACTAAATCATTCATGGCAATAAAATAAATCTAGAGAACGGCAGTTTTATTGTCGATAATGCCCGTATGTCAAACTCACTTGCCCACCATTTGTCGCGGAGATTTTTTCGCTATGCTTTTGCAGTTGTTCTCTCCATGTCTTGTCAATTTCCCCCCCGCTGAGCAAATGGTAAACTGCGGAATCAGGAGTGCTGTTGAAGTCCCCAGTTAAAATTTGAGATTTCTCTGGCCCTCCAGCAAACGATGAAAGAGTTTTGACGGCGCAAGCTACCTGAAAAAGGGATCGGTATTTTTTAATATAAATTCATTCAGAAAGACAACGAATGTAGGATAAATGAAAAGTGTATTAGAACAGGAGTCTGACTCTTCATAAAAGAAATAACTGGAAAAATTCTACATTGGACAGACGTCACGCTGATTACTTTCAGGGTGGAAACAATTTCCAACTGTTCCCAAAGTTTTGGGAGAAAACTTCAAGAACGATTTCACGTAACTTCTAACAAACGAAAAACAATACATATATCAATGACATAGAACTACCTGTAATAAAACAATGTCAAGTTGGGTCGTAGACCACAAAGCATGGACGTTGCCAATGGCGACTTCTTTCTTGTTGTCAAGCAGCTTCAATTTGGTTAGCAAAATGGCATTCGGTTTGCAAATGTGTCTTCTGATATGATCCCTGAGCTCCTTGTCCATTTCTACTTTCTAAATAGTAATACCTCCATTAAATTAAATCTGTTCATCTAAATATATAGAAAAATCTTAATACGACTATTAGAATAGAAAGACAGACAAAAATCAAAGCAACAAGATTAAAATCCACGGAAAGAGGCCATAAACAATGTAATAGGCAATGTAACCATCTTAATGAAACCATTAAGATTCCGACACTATATCAAAACTTAAATTCTTGGACCATGCAATTCACGGACACAAAACACCTTCCACTGCTCATACAAAGGATGGTGGAGCGCTAAGGCGCAACGAGAAATGGTACTTTGATGGCGTCAAGTTAGCACGTAGTTTCCAAATACAAACTCAGTTCCGTACGGTAGGATAACTAATGCTAACATTTGGCTAACATTTAAAATGGCTAACATTTGGACAAAGATGGGAGAAAGACATTGGTTAATAAAAGTAAACAAGTGCTGACCAGAAATACTAAAAGAATTTGAGTTTGAAAACCTATAGAAATTACAATAATCTCAAAGATCAAGCTGGTTTATAATACTGGTATCGTGTATATAAAAAATCTTACTAGGCGGTAACAGGAAAAGTTAGACATAGTAACGACCAGGGCGATGACGGCATACCTGCAATATGTCATCTGCTATTTCATGAAGTACACAACACCGGGAATCAACACATTCAAACTTTGAGGATTTAAAGAACGTGGCTTCCCCTAAATCGTCCTGGCGCTGTAGAAATACTCCTTCGTATCCATTCGTTTTCATGAAAGACTGAAGATGATTTGTGTAAATGCAGGCTTGTACTTCTTGCAGACAGACCACGTCCGCGTCCATTTCCTTCAGTTCTTTCAAAATTCGCGGTAGGCGATAGTCCATGTATCGTCTCTCTATTGGAACGTATTTGTCGTAGCCTTTAATAGGCTCCATTGCTACGTCAGCTAGTATATTATAGGTAAGCAAAGTAAAAGAGTTCCTGACATTTGAGTCGGTCCTCTTCTTCCAATGGCGAGGAAAAAATTGAAAATCCTCTGCACTTTGAAATTGCATGCCTTGCATGTTTCCTGTAGAAAGATGAAAAAATGTATCAAATAACATATTATACAGGGCTTTCTAATGATTCAGTGCAATACTTGAATGTAGTTATCTTTTAAGCACTTTTAAAAAAGTACACTCCATGGGGTTGAAAATCCCCAAAATGCTCATTTTTGCGATTCACAGCTTCTTATCTTGGACATAAGAACGTGATTATGTCCAAGGTCTTATAAAACTTTATAATTACATACAACTTAAAAATGACTTAACCCCTTAAATACTTTTTCTGGAGCGTACCTGATGTTGATATTTAAATTGGAACCTATAGTAAAATGGTCCCAGTTATAATGACTGACCAGTCATTAAAAGCTTAAATCAACCTTTATAAATTTTATCATCTTCAACTGTCTGTTATCTCACCGCGACTATTCAAATAGGCCTAAGAACAAAGCATCTTTTAAGATATGAACCAGTTAGTCTGCAGATTGCCAAGAGGTTGTTATTGTATTTTTTTAAGAAAAAAAAAAGAAAGTAAGTAAGAAAATAAAGAAAACCAAATCATGCTAGAAACATCTATGAGCACATTAACATCGCCTTCATCTCGCGTGCCAAATAAAGAAAAACGTTCTTAAAACTATCCCTTACTTTAGGGGCCTTCATATGTATCTTTGAGAGAACTACATTTAACTCCAAGAGGACTCTCGCTAAATGCACTAATATTGAAGAGTAACACACCTCCTGGCGTGCAGTCGAATAAAGAGAAACCGGTACGAACATTATATATTCTATTCTATTCTACACACACTGGACAATAGAAGTGTCACCCCCTAAATAAGAGTAATAAGAGTAGGCAGATCTTGGGTAGTTATAATGGCTGGTCTACTTATAATGTGACTAATGATTGTAAAACCGCTATACCATGGAATTGTATTTTTGGTCTTGTACATGTACAGCAAATGTTATTCCTGTCTTCCTCCAATATGGCAAGATACAGGCAATTATCTAACGGTTATAGGTGTCAAGTTATTAACCTGAAGAGGCGGAATATAAGCAATGTCAGAATATCGATACAATTGAATTGTTCAGTCAGAACCGTGCAGAGGGCCTGGTCTCGGTATAAAAACATTGGATCAAAAGACAAAATGCCTCTGATGGGTCGTCCAAGAAAAACTACTGGCCGTGAAGACCGACGACTGATTTTGATGTCCAGGTTGTCAAAGTTCGACACTGCTTGTCAGTTGACAACACAGTGGAACAATTTCACACATAAGAATGTGTCTGTGAAAATTGCTAGGCGTCGGTTACATGCTCAGAGAGTGTACAGCAAGGTAGCAAGACTGAAACCTCTTTTATCGTTACAAAACAGGCAACGTAGAGTGAACTAGGGTCAACAGGATCTGGAACTGGACAGTCCATGACAATTGGTCCTATATATTTTTTCTGATAATTGTCGCTTTGGTCTGACCTCTGATGACAGACGGGTACGATGCTGGCGAACTGCTGGTAAAGCATTTGAACCACATGCACTGAATTTTCGAACCCATGGCGTGGGCGAATTGATAGTGGTTGATGGAAACATGAATCACTAGAAATATATCGCTGTTTTGGAGTCAGGCTTGCTACCATCTATTACTAACATGTTTGGTGACAGGAATTATCCATTTGTTCACCTGGGTGACAATGCTCCTTGTCACAGACCCAGAGCAGTTGATTGGTTTGAACAACAGGACATTCGCAGGGTGATGTGGCCTGCCCAGAGTCCGGATGCAAACATAATAGAAAATGTGTGGAATGATATGTCAAAACTTTTGACAAATGCCCGTCTAACCAGCAGAGAAACTCTGTTATATTCGGTATTTCATGCTTGGGCCAGCATAAGTCCTGAACGCATCAGACAATTATATGAATCTTTGCCTCGTAGACTGGCACCCATTATTAGGTCACGTGGCTATGCCACTAAGTACTAATTTTGGACTTGAAACTGCATATTTTGGTAGAATGTATATTTGGTTCTCATTTTGTGATTTTTTGTGAAATTTGATGTTAATAAAATGATACCAGGAGCATATCATTCCACAGTCGTTTATCTCCCCCATAGTATTGGGTAGGGGTGACACTTCTATTGTCCAGTGTGTGTATCTCATTATGTAATATACGTCTTTGGCTGAACTGACAAGACAAAAGCACGCGTGCGTGGAATCGAGTTTATTGATAACCCTGACATTTTGTCTTCTCCGTTCTCTTTCACACACAGTACAGACAGTACTGTCAGTACACAGAAGCGTAACCAGGCATACGCACGGATGCACTGGGCTAACCATGATATTTTTCTCTATAAATTTAGTGTATTTCTCACGGAATTCAATCCCGAATCACCTTCAGTGTAGAACAGTTTCATTCGCTATGTTATTGTAATAGACTTGTGAAGATTCTTTTGTCTATAGCTATTTATATAAGTCTGATCTTACCATCCAATATTTCATCTGCTTACAGTCAGATTTCATCAGGGAATGAGGTTGTGACAGGTATGACAACCTGTCACCCCCTCTGGTGTGCTATTTGGTCAGTTCACCCCCCCCCCCCCCCCGGCCATACCTGTCACAACCTCATTCCCTGATGAAATCTGACTGCAAGCAGATGAAATATTGGATGGTAAGAACAGACTAATATGAATAGCTATAGACAAAAGAATCTTCACAAGTCGAATCTCCTTCGATTGTAAGTTAAAGTCACCTGAATGTACAAATCCTCTGTATAAAATGTATCCGCACCATTGTTCTGACACCCCTTCTCGTTTGCTTTCATAGAACTTAGGTAAACAATACTAGTAGCATGTACCTTCAGAAGTCCTCTCTTATGATCGTCCATCTATCTGGAACTTCCTTTATCTCTTAATTTGAGGGCTGAGTGCCGTTAAACTATTCTGAAGCCTTCGTCTTGAGTGTATCGATCGCACTCTCGCTGGCGATATATTTATCTCAGGTAAAAATCTACCAGTGCGTTATTTTCAAAGAGCAGATCCAGCAGACCTGGGGGCACTAGATAAAATCTGGACATTAATAAGGAGTCAGAGAAACAAGGATAGAGTCCTTGAAGGGCCTTGTGAAAACGAGAAAGTAGTTCGCTACTGACAACTGAATCGCACCGAACCACGATCGCTGTGCAATGATTTTTCTTTTTTAAAGATTGTGACAAGTTTTTACAGGGGCGGATTTAGGCCGTCTTTTGGTCTTCCGGATGACGGTCAGATTTTCAAGTTTACATTGGTGGGTACCTAATTTTTTTCTGTCGGAAGACGGTCAAAAATGGTGGATGGATCAACAATGATAATTTGGAAGACTATCAGAAAATATCTCTGAATCCGCCCCTGTTTTAGATGATTATATGTCCAGCTGACATGAAATTTCACATTTATGACCACACTTATGCACCTATTACACCGGAGTACCCTCTATTGCTATCAACGTCAGCGGCTTAAATGTTTGTCACGCCTACACGCCTACTGAAGCTGTTAGGGGATAAATAATTATCGTTTAGCGGCTTCAGTATGCTTGCCGGACGTCTAAGGCGCTTCAGCAGAAAGCAATTTAGCGAGAAACCCCTTGGAGATGGATCGACCCTGTTAGATCCATCAAGGCATGGGAACCGAGTCTATGTATCAGTAAGCCCCTAGTTAAATAAATTTCTGGGCAAGGCTTTTCCCAGCGATCCGTTCAGACGGCTGGACGGCTTAGGAATGTTTTAAAATATAATGTTTTATAAACATATTGGACCCCATTCCCATAGATATTTAGATTGATCTATCCCCCCGGGGAGTCTCACCAGATTGGTGTCAGCTTAACAGGCTTACATGTCTGTCCCGCCTACTAAAATCTGTAAAGGGGTAATTAACTATGATGCGCGCTCGACTGACAGCAATCTAGCGTGAACCCCCAGGGAGTTAGGTGGATCGATCTAAATCTTTGGAAATGCAGTCTTGGGTTGTCGCGTTGGCCATGGACGTCGTAGGCTACAAAATTCTCCTAGAGTAATTTGACCTACCCTGTTTTGTGATGCGTCCCAGTCGAATAATGCTACTTTGTTGTGCAGGCTGTTATTCAATCACGACGTAACTACCACCCAAAGCTTACATAACACAATAAAATATTTACATTTTAAAATACATAATCCAAGCCGATATATATGGGGTATTAAACCGCCATGAAAAAGCCAACTTAAACAAGTTTTTTTTGTCCCTAGTTTTTGTCTTGTCTTGAAATGAGAAAATTAAGATTTGGAGGGGTTCCAGGTTATTAAGAACTGGTGGGGTTTCAAGGAACTGAAGGAAAGCAAACGGGAGGTGAACAAAGACTGACCTGTAACCGTAGCTGGCTACCAATTTTTGAGTTGGACGCTGACCTGTAACCGTAGTTGGCTACCAATTTTTGAGTTGGACGGTGAATCAAATGAACACAGCAGCCAGCTTGTTGTTTCTAGTAGTCTTTTCTCCTCATACACACGGGCCACAGTCAGGCACGCAGGCAGGAACGTCTTGACGATCTTCCGGGGTCTCTCTCTTTCTCGCTCTCTCTCTCTCTCTCTCAGTCTGAGAAGCCCAGTTATTATAGGGAATCGTAGGCTACTGATCCCTACGTGCTCCGAATCTACATGTAATAGTAAGCGTATCTTATAGAAAACAAACTTGTCAACTATCATATGTGAGTTAGCAGTACATGGACCAGGGCTATTAATGTTCTCTTCACTCTTCGCTATGCTTGAATATATAATTGCGTCCGACTTGAAAAGAAGATCAATAAAACTAAATACTGAGCTACATTATTTGTTATCGTTGCCCTAAACGTGGATAAATTCTTCGGGTAGGAAGTTTACATAACCTGGGACTGGCTTTAAGTACATTAAATTATCTCATGTGTGGTGCTTGCTTTTGGTGAAAGAGATCAAATGACAATGATGAGGCCAAAGTATTTCTACAATTTTAGAATCGTCACAGGGTCTCTCTTTTATGTCAGTTCAAAAGGGGTGGACATTCATTATTTAAATTTATTACTTTGAAGAGACTTTTGTCTCTAATATTTGCTTCTCTTCCATGATTGAGATTTAAATTAAATAAAAGGAATTATAATTTGCTTTTAGCATTTTTAATCCTTTAGTCAAGGTCCACATTTTATTTCTCCCTATTCCTGACAGCCATTGAGAAAAGCTCTTTCCACTTACTCTTATGTTCTTCATCAAGAAGTCTTTTTCATCCACTGAAATTTTAGTAATTTGGAAAAAGTGTAGCAACACTAAAATTTTTGGCACTACCTGTGAAAATGATCAGCATAGTCAAAGGACATTTATGCCAAGTTTGGTTCTTTTTCCACATTCTGTGCAAGTTTGACATTATATAGCAACAGTCATGGAGGCTCAGGCCCGTAGCCAGGGGGGGGGGGGGGTCGGGGGGTTCGAAAGAACCGCCCCTCTTGTCAGGAAAAGGTCCATTTTGGGTAAAATTTGATCTAGGTACACATAAGTTTCATTGTAAAAGGTCCACTTTTCAGAAAAAGAACCCCCTTTTGAATTTGCTGGCTACGGGCCTGACTGACTTCTATGACTTGCCTCAGAGAGGCCCACAGACTCGGTTTAGTAGAACAAGGCAGGACAGGTCACAAAATGGTGTATATGGAATCACAGGCCACAAGAAATGTGGCATCACAGGACAGTGGGTTTAACACAAGAAATATCCCTTTCTGATTAATCTCAGCAGGAACAGCTAAAAGCAGTATTTAATATAATGCTTTATTCATACTGGTCACTGGATCAGTATCTCATCTGGGTGGTCAGAGCCTATGGATTTATAAGAAAAAAAATGATAATAATAATAGTTTATTTGCAACTAAAATAGTTGGATTGTACAATAAAATTAATTGTTAAATTCATGATGATTTTACTTGCCTCAAGCAGAAGATGGTGTATTTGATGGGCTTTGCTCATATTAATGTTTTTGATAGCTCATCCCTTCTGCTGACAAGTGTTACACTGTAAAAAAATTGTTTGTGACTCATCATCTTGAATGGGTAAATAATTTTAAATGCTCTTTCTTGACCATTTAAACTTGTCTCTCTGTTGTTTTGTGAGTCCTGGATGTCAAACCAAGGAGTTATAACTCCTTGGTCAAACTTAATTAGCAGGCATATTCCAGTGTAGATTGTATCACTGACACACAGGAGTGTATGAATTCATTAACAGAAACCCCTGCTCTTTTCCATTTCTTCTATGCTATGCTCACTCTAGACTTTAATCTTTTTCAGACAATTAGCTGAATAGTTTTAACCTGATAAAAATTTGAAGCAAAACATCAACAATTTTGTGATAAATCAGTAAAAAAAAATCCTTGGCAAATAAAAAACATGGCTAACATTTACAACTTTAATATTCTATGCTGGAATAGACACAGCTTTTATTATCATAATTAAAAAAAACCTTCAGATCACAGACTGAGGTGTTTGCATATTGAACCTGAACTGTGCCTTTATAGGTATGTGGTCTGACGGAAACAAATCACTGGGTAAGGCATGGAACCTCATGATTGGCTCTGAAGATGGAGTCTCCAGGACGCCCAAGGCAGAAATGCTCTCATGGCTGTACCAAATGTAGTCAAGGCAGCCATCAAATCTCCCATCCTGACAGGCATCATCACAGTTGGTTATACTTGGTTCTTTGCCCTGGTTTGAGAAAAAATTTATGACTGTGTAACACATAGCACAGAATCATCATCATTTTTTTGTTTAAATAATTTACCCTAGTAACTATTATCTTTCCCCCTGATATTATTATGACATAAATACAGAGTGCCTTGAATTATATAAATCCTTCAGTATTGGAAATGTGCTTCTTGATAATTAACTGAATTACCTTTGTACTGTATTTAGAGACATGTTTGATATTAAGTATAATGGTTTACTTATGTTTATCAATATCATGATGCTCATTGCTGTATTTGTATAAACGAATAATGGGAAAAGACTTTAGGCTGGTGCTGCCAAAATCCCCATACAGCTAAAACAACCACAAATAAACTGAAGCCAAATACTTAAACAATACAAAAGAACACTGACCATGATTTCTAAATAAGCACTTTTGCATTGCATAGGATTTCTGGTTAAACTATCAGTAGGTAGGAGGTCTAACAGCTGCCAACTCTGGAAAAATACATATATGCCATTAAGTAAAAATGCAACTTATATTGTTTTTTTTAATATTGTGCTTAAAATCTCAATTAGTTCATAAATGAGGAGGTAACATACCATGCTGCTGTATGTTCAGATAATGAGTTTATACTATATATTTTTCAAAAAGATTATATGACCTGGCTAACTTCAACTTTCTGTTTTGATTGTTTTTACATCTGTCATCTTACACAATATACTGTCAAATCAATAATTAACTAGTTTCAAAAGCCACATTTGTCAAAAAAAAAAAAAATTTAAGAAAAACATTACCACTACACATACCCCAACATCTGGCACTTCCACAGGTTCTTCCTGTCTCAATATTTTTTTCATTTCCTCGTCTAACTTTCCATCGTTCATGTAGCGGTAGACAGGTCCCCCAGGAATGCTGTTAAAGTCTCCTAGGATTAAATGAGGCTGCTGAGCTCCCCCAGCAAATGCAACCAGTTCTCTAACTGCACTGATTACCTGAATACAAAATATATGAATAAACATACAATATCTCCCATATAGCCTTAAAACTATCAAACAAAATAATAAAACAAAGTAGAAAAATCCAATATTCAGAAAGATTGTTAAAAAATCCCATATAAAAAGAAAGAAAATAATATATATACTTGTCAATTTATTTTTTCAAAAATTCCTTCTCTAACCTGCAAGAGTGTCACAGTCTGGTATTTCATACTGTCCCACACTGTGTGAATGTTGCCGACTGTCAGGACTCGATTGGTTCCTTTATGTTTTAATTTGGCTAATAAAAATGCACTTGGACGCTCAATGTAGGTTCTTACTTCATTTCTCTGCTCTGTACTCATTGGGGTAACCTAAAACAGAAAAGACAGTGGTCTGTGTCAGTCAAGTGCTCAAAGTTGAATTAACTTCACTGCATGTTGATGCCTTTGTGTTCTGCCTGCACTAGTTCTGGTTTGTCATCAGTGGAAACTGTTTTTCTCGGTTTGTCATGTATATCAAGACTGAGACCTCAAAAGTCAGGATAAAGAACCTTCAAACTGTCAGAATGTACTTTTCTGAAATCAATCCAGATATCGTGTTTCAAAATACAGTAGATGATAGACTTTCCTACATAAAAATTTTACCATGCACTCAAACCCAGTCTTGTACCAAGGGATCAACTTCACCAAAAAAGAATGACTCTAAAAACAAATAAACTCACCTGCAGTGTGGTTTCAGCTAAATCATGCAGAGTGCAGCACTTCTGGTCCAACAGAGAGAATTTATTGGTTTTAAAGAACAATGACAACCCAAGATCATCTCTTCTCTGTAGATGCACCCCCTTATAACCCAGCTTCCCCAGAGCTGGGACAAGCCCTTTAAAAAACACCTCCCCCTCTACTTCCTGCATGGCCACAATATCTCCATCAAGTTCAGCTAGCTCTTTTAATATTCTTGGCAATCTAAAGTCCATGTAAAGAGCATGTTTTGCAACATAACTGTGATATCCTACTAAATTTCTCACGGCACAATCGGCTAAAAGGTTGTATGACACTGCAGTAAATCCATTTTCTTTGAAAACTGCATCTGGTTTTGGTGATTTTTCTATCCATTTTCTGGGATATGGTGTAAAAGACATAACACTGGTTTGTGCCTCTTCCATTATTCTACTGTCTGAAATTAAGAAAAAAATATATATAATTTGTGTAGACTATGCTGCAGGCCTGGTTAGAATTCTGATCTGGGCTAAATTTCATTTCACCTGGACTAGACAAAAAGTAGAGAGAATTTCTGATCTGGACTAGATTTGTCTAGGTTTGTTTTCATTCAGTTAATATATTTCACCTGGGCCAAACCAGTATTGTGGTCATATCAGTGGTCATGAGTGACCTGGCCAAACCTGTCCCATCATAAAAGTGGGAGTGTCGATGTGGGTCAGTAAATCGACGCGGGGGCGTATCGATGCGTGCAATATTAGTTAATGATATGCGTGATTTGTGAAGTTACATAGATACATACATAGACAATGTAGCAATTTTCTCTTACTTTTACTTTTGCTTTCCTTTCAAGAAAAAAGTTCAACAGGGATAAGTGACTGGCAACTCTCAGGGCACATGCAGTATTCAATGTATCACAGGACGAATGGTGGCATTAACAGTTATCAGTTGTTTCTCGTCAAAATGAAATGGCATGCGCATCGACATTAATCATTTACTGGTTCCATGAAACAGCGGTCGTGTGCACTACTCGTGTATTCAAATTATTTGAAAGCCTCCATTATATATCTTAACAAATCCAGATTGAACCTCTGTGCCAATGCATCTGAATGTAATATGCATTGCTTCGGTTGCTTACTCACAAGAACTTGGTTCTCTTAATCGCTTAT